CTGTACCTATTGAGAGGTTCATGTCATCTTTGTCCTATCTTCTGCTTAAGGTGGTGTGTTAGTTACATTTGATTTGCATAAGTTGAATCAACCCTGTATCCCTGAAATGAATTCTAGTTGGTCATAGTTACAATCTTTTGATGATTTGGTGTATTCTGTTTGCCAATATTTTACTGAGGATTTTTTGCATCTATGTTTATTAAAGAGACTGACCTGTAATTCTCTTTTTGGTTCGGTCTTTCTCTGGTTTTGGAATCACATAATGCTTATTTCCAGAAATGATTTTAGGAGTGCTGCCTCCCTTTAGGTTTTACTAAAGAGTTTGAGGAGTATTGGTATCACATCTTTTCTAAGGTTCTTACAGAATTAGGCAGTGAATTCCTCAAGATCTAGGCTTTTCTGCCTAGGCTGGTAGGTTTTCTTGTTTTTTGCTTTTTACTTCTTCAGTTTCATTGACTGATAATGGATTATTCAAGATTTTTATACCTTTTTGGTTTAATTTGGAAGTTTACATGTGCCTAAGAGTCTAATCCATTTCTTCTGAATTTTCCATTTTATTAGAGTACATGTTCTTGTAATCTTGTGGATTAACTATATGTCTCTATGATCATGTTGAATATCTATGTGATCAGTTTTCTAGCTTCCTTTGTTAGCCTTTCAGGTAATTTTGTTATGGCCTGTGCTGTTCTGCCCCTTACTGCTCACCATATAGGCTTTGGAGGAGTTGGGAGTTTTGGAGGCATTTTGTTGCCATGTCTTCTCATGTTTCTATTTGAGTTGAAGTTTATGGATGCTTACAGTCTAAAGATTTTGTTACTAGTGTGGAGATCTTTTTCGTTGCTTCTCAATGATGTATTTAGGGCATGACTAGGTGTAATCCTTTGCCATAGCTCCAAGATCTGACCACCATGGTTAATTTGGAAGGGAAGGATGCAGTGTAGTTAGTCAGAATTTAGTCCACAACTGAATTCTCTGGGAATGTATTTTAATATTGTTATGTTACAAAGAACTAGCAACAATTAGGTAACTTATATAAAGTAGGGGCTGGGGATTTAGCTCAGTAGTAGACAGCTTGCTTAGCAACTTGGGAGCTCTAGGTTCATGCTCAGCACCAAAAACAAAACTCTCGACTAAAAAACAGAACCAAAAAAGACAAAAAGCAAAAAAGGCAACTAATATCAAGTAAGTCAGCTACATTATTATTGTCCAAAACAAATTGATTAATAATATACATATAAGAACCAACTATGTATTACCCTTAATCCTAGAGAAGAAATATCCACAATTATGGTATAAACATTAACACAGGGGCTGGGGAGATGGCTAAGTGGAATAAGTACTCCCCTGGCAAGCGCAAGGATCTGAGTTCAATCCCCGGTTCCGCAC